GCCCCCGGCTCCAGGCACAGCGGCTGCGAGGGCCGCGGGCTGCAGGCGGTGCCCCGTGGCTTCCCCAACGACACCCAGCTGCTGGACCTGCGGCGCAACCACTTCCCCTCGGTGCCCCGGGCCGCCTTCCCCGGCCTGGGCCACCTGGTGTCGCTGCACCTGCAGCACTGTGGCATCTTAGAGCTGGAGGCAGGCGCCCTGGCGGGGCTGGGCCGCCTCGTCTACCTCTACCTCTCCGACAACCAGCTCTCTGGCCTCAGCGCTGCTGCCCTCGAAGGGGCGCCGCACCTGGGCTACCTGTACCTGGAGCGCAACCGCTTCCTGCAGGTGCCGGGCGCCGCCCTGCGCGCCCTGCCCAGCCTTGTGTCCCTGCACCTGCAGGACAATGCCCTGGAGCGTCTGGGCCCTGGGGACCTGGCGGGCGTGCGGGCCTTGCGCTGGCTGCACCTGAGCGGAAACCGCATCGCTCAGCTGTCCCCCGGGGCGCTAGGGGCGGCTCGCGAGCTGGAGAAGCTGTACCTGGACAGGAACCAGCTTCGAGAGGTGCCCACGGGGGCGCTGGAGGGGCTGCCCGTCCTGCTGGAGCTGCAGCTCTCAGGGAACCCACTCCGGGCCCTGCCAGAAGGGGCCTTCCGGCCCACGGGGCGGTCCCTGCAACATCTCTTCTTGAACAGCAGTGGCCTGGAGCAGGTGGGCACCTGGCGTGTGGCAGGGGACACAGCACAAGGCCACCCACGACCAACATGCATTCACTCAGCCTGTGTGGCCATGGGTGCCAGGTTTTGGGCTAGCCATGGGAACCCTGGGATAAACACCTCGCCCCCTGCCTTAGGGAGCCCAGGTGTGGGTGACAGGCCAGGTGGATCTGTCGCACGGCTAGAGGCGCGCCCCAGGGGACATGTGGGGAATGAGGGAGGGCGGCGTTTCGGTCCAGGTGTTACCTAGCCTTGGCCCCGCCCCCAGGCTCGTTAAGGGGGTGGGGCTTAGGCAGAACAGAACGAACCATGAACTGGGCATGGGGTGACTTGGACATGAGACCCGCCGGTTATGGAGCCCCACAGTTCCCTTGCTGTCTGGGCCACCTGGGGCTCTCCAGCTTCCCTTCCACAGACCGAGTGTCACTCGGGAGCTCACGCCAGGGCCTGGCACCTCCTTGCAGATTTCCCCAGGGGCCTTCTCTGGCCTGGGGCCGGGGCTCCAGAGCCTGCACCTGCAGAAGAACCAACTTCGGACGCTGCCCGCCCTGCCCAGCCTCAGCGGGCTCGAGCTCATCGACCTCAGCGCCAACCCCTTCCACTGTGACTGCCAGCTGCTGCCACTGCACAGGTAGCGCACCCACCTCCCCGCCAAGCCTGCGCGGCCGGGTCGGTTCTCTTTTCTCTATGGTGCTAGGCATTGAACCTAGGGCCTTGTGCTCACTGAGTGAGTGCTCTACCACGGAGCTACATCCCCAGCCCTGTTTTAGTTTTTGAGACAGGGTCTTGTGGAGTTGCCCAGGCTGGCCTTAAATTTGCAGTCTTCCTGCCTCAGCCTCCGTAGTGGCTTGGGTTACAGGCATGCACCACCATGTCCTGCTCCTGTTACTATTCTTACTCCCTTTTCATGAAGGACACGAGGCTTGAAGTGACTGAGGGGCCACGTAACTGGTGAGCCACAGAGCCAGGACTCCGAGCAGTGCCCCGCTAGATCCACTGTGCCCGTTAGATCGCCCCCACCCCCTCAGGAAGGTCAGGCCGCGGGCTCCCCAGGCTCTTTCCTCCGCAGGTGGCTCACCGGGCTGAACCTGCGAGTGGGGGCCACCTGTGCCACCCCCCCTGGCGCCCGGGGCCAGCGGGTGAAGGCAGCAGCTGCTGTCTTTGAAGCCTGCCCAGGCTGGGCTGCCAGGAAGGCCAAGCGGACACCAGCATCCAGGCCAGGGACCCGCAGGACCTCAGTCAAGGGGAGGCCGTGAGGAGCTCCAGGTGGGCCCGGGGGTGGGGCGGGGCTTGGGTTCCGCATCCTGGGAGCCGGGCTCCAGCTTCTCCAACTCGTGGGCCCCGGAGCTGAGCAACGGCCCACGCCCTGCTGTCTCAACAAAGGCCCCTCCTCACCTCCAGAGGAAATGATTATGTGCCGTTTTGTTCTGTGGGACAGACAGCGGCCTTTCCTCTAAGCCACGGAACCCTGGTCCCAGTGTGTGCTTAAAGTCCATCGTGTTTCTGCTGGAGTGGTGCTGACTGGGCTCTTCCCACCCTGACCTCGGGGCATTGCGAGGGACGGGAGGTGCGGGCCAGGTGCGCGTGTGCTGCTGGGTCTGCTGCCATCCCCCACCCATCAGCACAGGCTGCACCCCACTTCACCTCCGCATCCTGACTCAGCTTGAACTCACAGTTATGACACCAGGCAGCACTTCGGAGAAGGGTGTGTAGGACACAGGCCGCAGGGAAGGCCGGGGGCCTTGTGAAACCGAGAGTGACGGCAGGCGGGGAGATCTGCCTCCCTCGGGACCTACGTTTGCAGATTGGGGCTCCTGGGGTCCTTGGTGTTTGGATGAGTTCCCTGGGCTGCCACAACCAAGTACCACAAACCGGGTGACCCAGAAAGGCAGGAATGCGTGCCATTCGGGAGGTCTGAGGTTGGAAATCACGGTGTTAGGGGCCGGTGTGACACCTGAGAGGAAGGGTGCTTTCCCATCAATCATCCTCCAGGACTTGCTCGCCTGAGAGGTCTCCTGGCTTTCAGTGGCCAAATCCCCACCTCCACATGGTTTTCACGTGAGCTGCCTCTGTATCTGTCAGTGGGATTCCCCTCTCTTTCCCCCGCCCCCGGCAGTGCTGGGGATTGAACCCAGGGCATAGTATATGGTAAGCAGATACTCTACCACCGAGCTACATCCCTAGCCCATTTATTGACTGATCGGGACAGGGTCTCATGTAGTTCAGGCTGGTCTCAAACTCATGCAGCTTCCCCAATGCTCGGGCAATGGTTCACTCCCAACCCTTTTACAAATTGTGAGAGAGGGTCTTGCTAAATTGCCCGGGCTGGCCTCCAACTTGCAATCCTCCTGCCTTGTTGGAATTACAGACATACCTGGTACGAATTTCCCCTTTTTATAAGGACACTGGCCATAGTGAGGCAGAGCCCAACCTAATGAGCTCATTTTAATCACATTATTGCTCTAACAAGGTTACTTTCAAGTAAGATTAGGCTCTGAGGTACTAGGGGGCGAGGACTCCAACACACCCCCGAGGGGAAAGTATAGCTCGCCCTGTAGGGCGTTCTGGAAGGCTGGGGTGAGGAAGGACTCCTCAAAGCCCCCAAGCCGGTGAGGGGGGGCACTAGTTCTGCCACAGAGGCACCCAGCTGTCGGCTTTAGTGCCAGTAGCGATGTGGTCTCCGCCAACACTCCCGTGCCACTAGCTGGTAGCCGGCAGCCCCAGGAGAGGGGTGTGGGGGCTCGGCCAGGCCGGTCCACCCCAGCTCAGGGCATGGCTGGAAGAGTTAGGGCCTTTCAGAACATTTCATTTCTGACATGAAGTAGATGTCCCACCTCGCGCCAGCCCTGGAGTTCTGAGTCATGATCTTTACTTTCTTCTTTTGAGTGAGCACCATCTTGCTAAGTTGCCCAGGTTGGGGTCAACTTCTGACCCTCCTGCCTCAGCTTCCTGGTGCTGGGATTACGGGCGTGTGCAGTTGCGCAGCTTGGTTCTGGGCTACTTCAGTGCAAGTAGCGGCTTCCTCCTGGGGATGCACAGGCCCTGCACCCTGGCACGGCCCAGCTGAGGGGGCCGGGCCACACCTGCCTCACGCTCTCTTGCCGCCCTGGCATAGCTGGTGTCTGCCAAGTGGGAGGTGCCCCGTGCCGTTGACAGGACCATGTCTGAGTGCTCGTGGTGATATGATGAAGCGATCCGGGCTCCGCCCACTGCTGTCATTCAACAGTGAGTGGAAGCGACCGCCCTTCTCCCTCTCCTGCACCGGAGGACCGATCACAGAGCCCGGCCGCGGTGATGGCGGGCAGCTGAATAAATGCGAAGCTGCACCCCCTCCCCCAGCGGAGGGTCCAGGCTGCTCATTGGAAAACGGGTGCAGAAAGTGATGACTTGGTCTAATCTGCACTGGCAGCCACTGTGACCCTCAGGCGTGGAAGCAGGGAGCCGGGCAGGGACAGCAGATTTCCATGGGACAAATCCAGGTGCCCGCAGGCACCTGCAACCCAAGTTATGCGCACCTTTTCCCACTTCACCAGCACTCAGCAAAGCTGACATGCTGTCAGGCCTGAGCCAGGGGCTAGGGACAGGTAGGACCCAGGCTGCACCTCTGGGGACCTTGTAATTTGGGGAGGGGAGTGGCACACGACGATGTTAGGGGGCACCCAAGGTGGTGACGGGTGCCACTGCGGGTCCTCTACGTCTGCACTTAATAGACTTCAAGGTGGCCCTGGGCACACAGCGAGGGCACACTCCCCCACAAGGAACCTGGGAGGCTGCCCTCCTCTTGTGGCACCTCTAGCGATGGCTCCTCCTTTCAGGAAGGCCGAGTGGCCGGGGAGCCGGTTTCCCGGGGCGCTTCAGGCGGGAGGGGCCCTGACCCGCTACGCGAGACGGGGCGTTCTCTTCCGCTGGGCTCCTGGGCCAGCTGCAGGCCCGGGGCACACTCAGGCACGCTCCTGTCTGCCCACATACACAAGCGGCGCACGGCTTCTGAACCGCGACTGCCCCAGCCCAGGCTCTCCCTTGCAAGCCTGTGCGCGTTCTGAGGTGAGGCTGCGCTGATGGCCGCGTCCGGTCCGGGTGCTGCACAGCGCAGGGCCGCCGGGTCGGTGCCTTGCGGCAAGCTCCCTCAGCGGCTGCTGCAAACACCAGCCTGCGATGACTGCACGCTGTCCCTGCTCAGGGATGCACCCACCCGGGGCGCCAGACCCTGGCACAAGGGCTCAAGGGGCCTCTGAGGCAGCTGGGCACAGCGGCAGCCCTTATGGGACAGACCGAGGGAGCCGCTGGGCCCCACGCGGGGGGAAGGGATGGGCCGAGGGCCGCAGGGAGTTCTGGAGAGCACACTGGGCTTCAGGGAGACCGAGGGGCAGAGCAAGAGCAGACACGAGCCGAGCTTCCAGGATGCTGTTTACAGGAGCGGGAGAAGGGCCCGAGAGCAGCAAAATCCAGCCAGAGGCGCGAGTCAGCTCCCGGGGGGGCACGGCCCTCCTTTCGTGGCACCTCGGCAAAGACTGCCACGCCCCACACCAAGGCCACACCCGACCCCAGTCCAGCAAAGGGAGGGAAAACGTCAGGTCCAAGCCGGGGCCCCCTTCCGACCCACCGCGATCCTGGTGTCGCAGGGTCCTGGCCTCCACCTGGCACCAGCTGTGCCAAGGTCACGGGCTCTCTGAGCCCATCCGCTCCTCTCAGGAAATGGCAGTGCCTGTGCCCAGGGGCAAGGTGGAGAACGCCTTGCAGGTCACCAAACCCCAACGCTGGGGTCCCCATGGGTGAGGCGTTCTCCTTGGCTCCCTCCGAGGCGGAAGAGGCTTGCTTTGCGTCAGCTCGGCCGCTCACAGCTTCCTTCCCAGCGCGCTCGGGCGCTCACAGGCGATCGCAGGCCGTCTGCCTGCGCTGCGTGGCGCTGAGGGTGGGGAGGGCGGGAGGCTGCGGGAAGTGCGGAGCTAGATGCGCAGTGCCGCACACCTGTGATCCCAGCGCTCCAGGAGGCTGAGGCAGGAGGACTACAAGTCTGAGCACAGGCTGGGCAAATTAGTGACTTACTGAGCTCCTGTCTCAAAAAGTAAGAAAAAGTAAAAAAAAAAAAAAAAAAGTAAAAACAGGGCTGGGATGTACAGTAACTCAGGGTGACAGCTGTAGGTTCAATCCCCAGCACTTGAGAACAAAAAAGTGGACAGCAAGTGTGCTTGCTTGGAAAATGTGGGGTGCGGAGACTGTCACACAGACCAGCGTGGGGGCCTCGGGCAGCCTGGGTCACGGAGGCCCTGCCAGGAGGGCAGGCGGAGAGGGAGGCCCACGGAGTCCTGGCCAGTTTCTCCGAGCGCGGCCCCACACACCAGGCAGGGTACTTTACATCAAAGGCTCAGCTCCAGTGACGGGGCAGAGGGCGACCTCTGCTCCCCGGCCCAGGGGGTGCCCGCTGGGCTCCAGCGGCTCAGTCATCCGCCTCCTGCTTGATGCTCTCCACGGGCACAGGCAGCCCCCCACCGGGAGTCTTGTCGGGCGAGGCCCAGTCCAGGTGCTCCTCCTTCACACACACGGTGATGACTGCAGGGGACAGTGACGTGTGCTCTGCGGCAGGGCCTAGCTTCCCGCAGCCAGGGCCGCCAGCAGGTGGCAGGCAGCTGGGGACACCCCTGCCGCCCACTCACCTCCCAAGGCAGCAGAAGAGGCAGCCGGGGGCCTGGGCGCACCTAGCCAGCCAGCAGGCCACGCAGAGATGCTGGCACCGCGGCTATCCCCAGCCCAGCACGCGCGGCGGGCGGAGGAGGAGGAGGCGCGCAGGGCTGCCCACTGTGGCGCGCGGGCCCAAGGTTAAGGACGGCTCGGTGCCCCGCAAACTCCCCCACCTCGGCTCTCTCCTCTGTGCCCAGGGCGGGAAGGAGAGGCGACCTCCCAGCGCAGCACAGGCCGGCCCTGCCTCGCCCCCTGGGGACTCTTACTCTCGCCAGGCCCCGGCTCCGACTCGACCATCCCTGCAGCCTGCGGCTCGTGTTCCAGCAGGGGCTTCTTGGAGCCCTGTCGGAGGGCCCGGGGCTTGGCTGGCGGGATCCTTTTCCCTTGGAATAAAAACGGAGTCAAAGCCAGCATTGGGGTCCATTCCGTGTGAGGCCTGCTGAGCAGGCTGCAGGGCAGAGCGGCAAGGTGACAGTTTGGGACAGACATGTGCCCTGAGGTCAGCCCGTCCCTCCAGCGGGCTTCTCCACATCCTGCGTCCTGCACCCAACCCGTGCAGCCCAGCGCCTCCCCGACGCGGGCCACACCTCACCCTGCCCCGCCCCCGCCCGGGCCGTGACCCTGCTCCGGGTCTGGCCTGTGCCAGGACGTCCTCTGCGTGCAGTGCCATGCTCTAGCTCTGGGTTCAGCTCTGCCCAACCCCCCCCCCCCGAACCTGGTGCTAAGGTGCTGCCACCTTCAGGAGGCAGTGGCCCAGGAAGCCGAGTCTCTTCCTGGCCTCTCCCTCAGAGCCCAGCAGCTGCAGGGGCCCAGGGCCGCACCGCCTTGCAGTGGTGTGGCACCCCCTGCGCTCCTCTCCCTCACCGTGTGACCATCTCCGGGGACCGAACTCCTATCTATATCTGGGTGCCCAGAAGCCCATGGGTCGGGGGCAAGGCAGAGGCGAGGAGGGCAGAGGCCGGACTCCTTCGGCTCAGGGCTGCCCGCATCTCCTGAGGGTGGTCCCCCTCGGAGAGAGCCACACAGAAGCAGAGGCTCCTGGGCACCAGTACCTGGCTGTCCTGGGGCACAACTTACTTTTTTTCCCGAATTGTTTCTTTTTCTTCTTTGTGGCTTCTTTGGCCTTCAGAGGTGTGGCCGGTTCTGTGGGTGAAAGACAAGCGGAGCAGAGATGAGGGCCCCCAGGAGGGAAGGCAGAGCGGGTGATCAGAGAGGGGGTGGGCGGTGCGGAGCGGCTGGCGGGCCTAGTGCTGGACCTGGCGATCCGTGGGCAGGAGTGAGCAGATGTGGGCAGGATGCAGCAGGAGCGCTGCGGGCCAGGGGAAGGGAGGGAGGAGAGGCCCGAGCAGGGCGGCGGGCACTGCTGAGGGCAGCTCGAGGCTTCTAACTTCATGCCAAGAGCCGAGCCCGGCACTAGAGGGGCGCGGGTGGCGGGGGAACAGGGACGGGGCAAGCGCCTCGAGCCCAACCTGTGGCCACCGGCGGCTGCAGCTGGTAGCCGGTGAGCTCGCACCAGCCCACGGGGTAGATGTCCGGGGACTCGCAGTCCACCCACTGGTCGTACTCGCTGTCCCAGCCGTCGAAGTGGATGCTGAGCAGCCGCTGCACCACCCGCTTTACCGTGGCCACGCAGATGAGCCGGGGCTCCATCAGGTCCACGGCCTCCAGCTTCATGCCCACCTTGAAGCCGTGGTTGGGGCAGTCCTGGGGGGCGGGGCGGGGGAGGGGCTGGCGCGGAGGGCGGCAACACCGTGACCACCACGCCGGTGCGGTGTGGGGCTCTTGGGGGAAGGGGCCGGAGCTGCTGCCCCACAGCACCACAGACCCCGGCTCCGTCCGGGCTCTCACCATGTTGAAGAGTCTCGAAGGCGCCGCTCTGGACTTGGTCTTCTCCAAGTAGGTCTCCCAGCTGAAGGTTTGGGCCTCGTACCCTGCGGGGGTGGGGAATTCCGACGCAGATTGCGGGGAGCGGATGCAGGAAGCAGGTTGGGGAAAGTGGCACTCTGCCCGAAGGCCACTGCGGCTTGGCCAGGACCCAGCCTGGGGTCTCCATGGCAGCCACCTTCCCTCCTCCTCCCCAGAACACCTGCTCCTGGACCACAGTCCGGTTGCACAGGCTGTTCACTGCTCAAACAAGCAGAGCTCTGTTCACCAACCACCCAGCACCTACGGTGTAAGGGCTGGCAGTGGCCGGCAGTGGCTGGCACCTCTCCCATACCTTGAGAACTCCATGGCCCAGGGTTCTACGTGACCAGCACTCTGGCCCTGTGACCTCACCCTGCAAGGCCAGTGTGCGGTGTGCGAGGCTCACCTTTCGGGGGCGTGAGCTCGATGTCATTCTTCTGGCAGAAGGTGGCTGGGAAGATGGCGTGGGAGGAGGCATGGTAGCAGAACCAATCAGAGCCATCGGTGGAGGGTCCCCCGTCCACACAGATCATCAGGTAGCCGTCCAGGAGGACCTAGGGGAGTGTGGGCCACGGACGGGTGCCACGGCATTGGCTGTGTTCCCGTAAGGCGGGCGGGCCCTCGTGTGCACAGCTCTGCCTTCCCACAACAGCCGGCATGCCCTGAGCTGCGCCCCTCAGAAAGCCAGCGGGAGACACTGGAGCCGTGGGAGCCGGGCCCTGGCCTACCTTGCAGATGGTTGCTACGCAGATGTTACCCAGGTTCAGGGGATCGATGGCCTCCAGCTTCATCCCCTCCTCAAACCAGCCACCTTCTGTGTAGACAGCGCGTACCTGCAAGGAACAGGGCACCTGGTGAAGGCCAGGCGGGTGCGGGGGGCCTGGGGAGGCGGGACAGTGCCGGGAGCCGCCAGGCTGCTGGACCTGCACTGGGTCCTGGGCTCGGGGAAAGGCACTCGGGGGCCACGCCTCACCTTCTTGAACAGGTAAGGGACGGCGTCACAGTAGATCTTCCGGAAGGTGGGGTGATGGGCCATGTCACTCCGCCTTTCTGGAGGGGCAGAGGACATGGGGAAGAGAAGGGAGGTAAAGGCGGCCTGGGGCTCCTTGGTGCCTGCCCGGAAAGGTGGCTCCTCCAGCAGGCCAGTGGCCCGGCCCACACCTCACTGGCATCCCCCGGGGGCCTGCTCAGCCTCAGACCCAAGCCCCCCTGCATGACACACAGGCCAGGAGCTGCAGGACCAGGTCTCAGTTCTACCACTTAGCCGCTGGACTGAGTGACCGCGGTCAGGGGACTCGGCCCCTCTGGACGTCAGTCCTGGTCCCTCCTCCCTGCCACTCCTGGGGACTGGGGACCCGGGGTCACGCTGGCCCGGGGTGCTGCTGACCTGACATCTTGATGCCGTGGCCAACACGCCGTGACCACCCCACTGGGTGGATCAGGGGGCTCCACATGTGACACCAGAAATCGTCATCACTGTCGCCGTCCTCATAGAGGAGCCGCAGGCGGCCCCCGATCACCGTGTCCACCACGGCCATGCGGGTCCGTGACACCTGCGACTTGTCCACGACTTCCAGGCGCATGCCCTGGCGGAAGGGGTACTTCATGCTCTCCACCATCTGCAACGGCACGGAGCACAGCCGCTCGGCCCCCAGGCCCCTCCTCCCGCCTTCCTGCTCCGTCTGGAGCCGGCGGAGGGCAGGGATGGCGTGGCGGGGGTCAGGAAGTGACGGGGAACCTGTGGCCTGCAGGCTTGCTCGGGCCCCACAAGGTGCATGAGGCCGCATCACCCAACGCCAGCGACTCAGGTGGTGGGGGCCCCAAGCCTGCTTGACGGAGGAAGCCCGAGTGAGCAGAGGCCAAGTGACGTGCCCAGTCACACACTCACTGAGCCCGGGGGCTGGTGACCGGCCTGGGCACGGCCCTCCCAGCCCGGGCCACCTCCTCACAGACCCCTGTGCCTCCTGGGCCTCTGCTGATGGCAGTGCGGGACTTACGTCTCCAGGTATCCAATCCCACTCTCATTCTGAGCACTGCAGCAGCAGCAATCTGTGCCCTCTGACCCAACAGGGACAGGGGCCAAGACCCCAGAGCGGACCGCAGAGCCGTGGTGGTGGGGCACAAGTGGGCAGCAGACGCCTCGTGTGCTGTGGCTTTGGGGCCCTCGTGCCTGGCTAGGGCCTTTCCAGCTCCAGGGCCCAGCAGGCTCCAGATCAGCCCCGGCAGAACAAGACAGACAGTGCTGTTCCCATATAGGCCAGCAGGGGGAGCTCTCTGCGGCCACGGAGCAGTCGACAGAACAAGCTGACCTAGAATCCCAACAGACTCCTGCCCATTCCATCTTTGTTTCCTGTGTTGGCTTCCGAGCCACTCTGGGCTTGGCCATCAGGGCAAAATCCAAAAGCCATTTTCTCCACGAAGCCCGCTTGATAACCACTCCTGCTCTGTGATCACAGGGCCAGTGTCCTACATTTTCTGCACCCTGCCAGAGGTACAGGGCCACGTGGGGACATGGCCTCCAGCCCCTGGCTCAGAGACCTCAGATGCAGCCCAGGCCTCTACCCAGGTGAGCCACAGCTGGAGCCCAACAGAGGCAGCAGAGTCTCCGCTGCAGGCCTGATCCCTCTGACTGGTCACCAAGTGACTTAAAATGAAAGAACTTTTTTCTTCGTGGTACTGGGGATTGAAGCCAGGGGCACTGTACCATTAAGCGACATCCCCAGCCCCTCGCTTTTTTTGTACCAGGAATCAAACTCAGGACCTTGAGAATGCCAGGCAGGTGCTGTGCCACAGAGCTATATCCCTGGCTCCAGCCCTTTTTTGAAACAGGTCTCACTAAATTGCTCAGTTTGGTCTCAAACTTGTGATCCTCCTGCCTCAACCTCCTGAGTCGCTGGGATTACAGGTGTATGCCATCACCTAAGTAGATTTTTAAAAATATAATCAAATGCCACATAAATGATTTTGAGGTATATTTCTAGTTCGGAACAGTGGCTATTTTATAATTATTTGTGAGCTGGGTGTGGTGGCTCATGCCTGTAATCCCAGCACTTGGGAGGCTGAGGCAGGAGGATCGTTGCGAGTTTGAGATCAGCCTGGGCTACAAAGTGAGCTCAAGGCCAGCATGAACTGCATAGCAAGAGCCTGTCTCAAAAAGACAACAACAACAAATTATTTGTGTGCATGGTTTTCATTGCCTCTGCCTCTAAATTTCCTCTGGAGATTCCTGGGTGGCAGGGCCTCATCTACAAGTACTGTTCATTATAGAGTCCACTGAGTGAGCACTCCGGAAGGGTGTCTCCAGCAAAGGTGAGAATCCTGCAGCGCAGAAGTCTGACAGCAGCACAACCGACACAGCCGGGCCCAGGGTCAAGGAGG